CCAGCATGGGCGCACAAGACTTACCCACCCGCAAGGCGATCCATGCTGGTCAGAAACGAACACTGTCTAACTGCATCAGACACTCGGGTCCGCATTACTGCCACGGGTCACGCATCCTCAAAGGAGTCACGCGCTGCTTCTTGTTCACACGGGTTGCTCTTTTCGCAATCGCACTTTTGATATCTTCATACAGGTCGGCACCTGCGCTCAACATGTCCTGCATGATGATGCTGTCGAAGGACTCCAAGCTGAAGCGAAGTCTCTTTGCTTTGTCGAACCCTCTGAAGTCGACATTGGTCAAGGCATCGGCCTCCCTGTTTTGAAGCCGAGGTGTCCAACTGTGATGCAAAAGCCTTGCTGCGATCTCCATGACGAACGCAGCCAATGGGAAAGAAGTCGTGAGCAATCGCTTCATGACGCATGCGTTGCCCAAATTATCTGTTGCCGCAGAGCATGTGATCGAACCGGTAACATCGCTCTTGAGGCCCAAGAGCACAATCCCAGCCAGCGTATCGAGCATCTCCAATGAAGAAATCACTCTGAACGGTTCGCCGGCCGTGAAGACCCACGGAGCATTGTCACGCGTGAGACGCTCACTAAACCACCGACAATCCATAGTGCGCTTGCCATCGATGACCGCCCAACCCCCGATGTAGACTTCCTCGCCCGCTGCACGTGCATCGGTCCGGAAGATTTCAACGCAGCGCCTCTCACGTGAGCCAACCTGACTCATGTTGTGCCCCTTCTCCAACATTGCACGCAGAAACTCCAACACTAAGCGTACTGCTTTGGGGAGTGAGAGCTTTGCACAACGCTTGGAGACAGCAGGCGACCATGTGTACAAAGGGGCTAGAAATGGCCTCAGCGGTTCCAGTGCTGCAAATGCAAAGCTGAGGCGGCCCAGAACTGCACTGAAGTCGGCAAGTACTACGGCGTCCTCCTCGAGAGTGCATCCCAGCCAATTAATCAACCACCTCGTCTTGTTGTCGCCAATGCCCAGAACCCTCCGCTGGATATCAAGGCAATAACCGACCCAATCCACGCGCGTACCACCATGGCATTTCTTCCACGCAAATGGCACACCCAGCGTTGCTAAGAAGAACATGGCGACGGCTACTGCTTCCGCTGCATTCCTACCTCTGGCAAGCCACAGCAAATCGTCCACATAGACCAGGATGAAGACAGCAATCTTGCGCAAAAGGTAGTACACACTTCTCTGCAGTCCACCCATCAACCTGGACCAGTGGTAAGCGATACTCGAAATACCAAACGTACCAACAGTATTGAGCCAAACCTGGTCAGACTGGGAAGAGGATCTGCACGCTTGGAATCCCCACTGGTCCTCCTTCATCTTGACTAGCCGATGGGCCCTCTTGACATCTGCAGCCAAAACAAAGGTTGGTTGGAGCTCGCGTGCGGCCTGGCGCATGTCTCCAGCAGTGGGGCACACCAGTTGGTCACGAACTTTAATGCTACCGTTCACACCAGTGCCATGTGTCCCATCGTGAGTGACTCTGAATGTATCGTCCTTCTTGCGAATGGCCCCAAGCGAGGCGATCCGAAGTCTGCCACCGTACTTTACCACGGCCTCTGACATAGGCATTTTGACCATGGCGCCAAGGACTGCTTCGTTCTGGAACTGTTGCTCCAAGGCAGCGGCATTCTCCTCTGCAGAGGGATAGTTTTGACGCAGAGACTCCTCTGGCAGCTGTTCGCCTTCATAGTCACGCCACTTGCACTTTGGGTCAAACACTGCAGGGACCCTTGGCAGCTTCTCATCGACACCCATTGAAACCCCATTGGCGAAGGAGCGAGAACCTGAGAAGAAAACGCGGAAGTCCGGGTCGCCGCTCAGCCGCAGGAACTCCTCTATCATTGCAAGCTTGAAAGGTTGACGCTCAGGCACGATGTCGAGATCCAAAACGGTGCCATACTTCTGCATGATGCCTTTAATTGCTGAGAAACCAGCAGCAAGGAGGTCCTCGTTGAAAGGTGAAGTCAAATGCCGCCCGCACGCTAACTCCAGCATCAACCTGTGAGGGTCCATGCGATCGCGCAGAAGGCGCTGCAGCTCTAAGAAACACTCATGCGCCATACCTAGCCGTC